GAAGGATCTAACCACTTTGATAGTTTCTCTCTTTCTGTTAATCCCACAACAGTATTGAATCGATTAGGTTTATTTAGAATAATTTTTTCATTAAGCTGTTCTAGTTTTATCTATACCTATAAGGATAATCAAAACCAGTTCTGTAATCTTGAATACGCACGAAAGCTCAGCGCCATCTACCCATAATCGAAATTTATTTTTAATGAAGGTTTATATTTCTATTTTCGAACAATTAAACGCATATCAGGTACAATTTTAATTATTGCTGACGATGATTTACTATAATTTCTAAAATTTATCAGTTTATTGTAGAGTGTGCGTATCATTTCAATACCATAAATTGTAATATCAGCTATTAATAATGTTTTACTTTCCACAAGTATAAAACAGAATAGATTTAAATCCGTCCCGATATCCGTTCAAGATGAGCGGTTAGGCTCTGTATGCTGTGGTTGAGAACAGTAAGTCTGTAGTTAGCCCCGTTGCAAAAAATATTCGGCTGCCAGAACGAAGGTAATGGGTGCAGATCAGACGAAGAGACAGACAAACTGCTATCAGATGACGAAAGTCAATGTTAGTGGGATTAACAGAAAGAGAGAAACTATCAAAGTGGTTAGATCCTTCAGAGTTACACATAAAAGACTGGATTAACGTGTCAATTGATGGTTCAATATAGTGTTTGCAGGAGTAAGTGACTGCAGGGGTAAAGACACAAGTTTGGGCACGAAGAGATGATTGAATATCTGCAGAACAAGAAAAGTTAACTGAAGTGTTAACAGACTGGGGCAGAGAAGTACTAAATTGAGAGACATAGCAATGGGAGCCATTCGAAGCAGACAGAAAGGTACAGGTAAATAGCGAAACAGAGTCATTAAATATACCTCGAAAAATAGTCGTCGATCGAGCGACTTAACTCACGAGTTCCTGAGTCACTTAAATGGATACCATCTTCACATACCATCGATCTGTCATCATAGTTCACTTTGATAATATCAACACCATCAATAGAGGTCAACAACCGATTATATTCCGTAATATCAGTACGCACATGGTCAACTGAAGATTTGGTGCCACGAACAAGAAGAGGAGACAATGTTGTTAATGCTAATGAAGATTGAGAATAAGATTTTTTGAACGACTGGACAAGTAGTTTTATTTTGTCTAATGCAATACCAGGGTCGTCATATTTCAAATTAATTGTACCGATATCCATAACAAAATGGGGAGATGGCTGAAAATGTTTGTCCTGTAAATATTCGGTCATCTGTTCAATGGTACAGCCTTTCTTTGTTCGGATTAGGAAACGATACGGTTTGCTGTTTAGCTTGACTGTACTGGGTTCAAGATCTTGAGTGATTTATGTGTAATGCATTTATGTGTAAGAAATGAAAAAATGAAACGAATTAAAGTTGTTAGACCTGTCGCCGGTATGATTAATATCATGGTTGGGTGGCATAACCCATGAAATAATTTTGATACCCTAACACAGGTTAGCACTCGTTAAAAATATCTTTTTTACCAAAATTACGTTTAAACGGGTTAAATTTTCAAAAATCACGCGCACTGACGCTTCTTCCGAGTGGTGATGTGTGAAAACTCGTTGAATATGATTCTGAAAGATCTAACGAGTTTGCATGCGTACAAGTTGAACGAGTTCAAGTACGTTAAGATCTTGTTGATGCGTATGAATGAGTTTAATACGAAAAAGTTACTTGTAATGGGTTTGAACCAGTGTGGGTGTCGAATGCGCTCTAACCGCTCTTAAATAGTGATGCAACCAAAATCGATTACAATTAGAACCATCAGATTTAACTGCTTTGAAATTGAATTGTTACGTATTATGTATAGGCCTGCACCAATACCAAGCATTATTGAAGATATTATACAATATTACTGGATACCCAATATATTGTACTGGTACATGACTAGTTATATAATCGCGTTTTACACGTTGATCTATCATTTGTAATCGTACGTTCAACCAATCACAAACGTAAATTGTGTACATGTACAATTTCCATTCAAATCCGTTGAACTTAGCAAAACGCACACGGGGCTTCAAGTAATAATGAGTTCATCTTAAATAAGTGAACACATCTCTTCACTGTCTTTTTTTTCTTCTCTACAGGCGAACCTTTTTACAAACAAGCAGTAGAATAAGTAGTTCGAAACTGTTGGCGTCGGAGCGAAGATTAAATATAATAAAAAGCTTACCTGATTACTAAATTTTTTCTTATTATGGTCCAAAAGAAGAATCTCATATGTGCAAGATAAAAACGAATACACTTCCTGAAACAAGAGCTATACTCGACCATACTATTTCCCTCTTCTTTTCAGTGACAATGGACATGGGCAATCAAAAACATCACATAACAGAGAACGCATCGCATCCTCTTAATAGCGTACTTGTGTTGAAACTATTATCGACTAAACTGTAGCAAGTTGTTAAAGCGCGCTATGTTTCAAACTCAAACGTTGGAACATGTGAATTCATCGAAAACCGATCATATACAATTCGAACGCGTTTGATCATAAAGAAAAAATGTGTGTTTCTAAGAAACAAGCCTTCAGATGACGCATTTGAAAAGGCATAAGTTGTACCAGATTCAAAACAATAGCATGGAAAATAACCCCGTGTTATTATACATGATTAGATACCCCGTGAAGAGTAGATCACGAATATATACTTTTTATTTAAAATCAAATAAATTTCCGAGGAGTCTAAATATTCTGAGTATACCCAAAAATAGAAAGAAAATGTTACTTTCGGAGTAATGGTTAGAATTCACCATCGTAAACATTCACAAACTTTTTCAAGGTGCGTTCAGTGAACATAAGGTTGTGTACTTCGAAAAAGTGAAGAATGTAATCATTTTTTGATAAGTTTTTCCAGCCTGAAATTCATCTCTAATCATGAGTGCAAACCAAATTCCAAGTTGATT